ATGTGGTGGCGGGTTGGTCTGCGGGGGCGACGCTAGGGACTCGGGATGGGTGACCGAGTGGCCGGGGGAGGAGCATCGGGCGCTGGGTGGGAGCACCCTCAGAGTGTGGTGCGGGGCGCGTCTGGGAGTCGCGTGGCTGAGGGTCCCGAGTAGGGTCCCAGGGAGGACCCTTGGAATCGAGTAGGTCCACCTGGTGGGTAGGATGGACTTGCCTAATGGGAAATTTACACGGTTTATAGGTCGTGAAGTCCGGACGTGTGGTTTGGAGTTGAGAGTGGACTCCGAGTGATGCCTCGGTGAACTAAGTTTGCTGTGGGCTGCGAAGACGGGGGCTCCAGTGTGCTGCCCTTTTGGTTTCCAGCAGGCCTGGAGCCTCTGGTTCTCCAAGTCAGGTTTCCTTCCTTGCCGAGGAAGGAGAGTTCACCAAGTATCTGGACTCTGGTCCGGCTGCCAGTAAATTAGACATAGCAGTTATTATTGAATAGTAGAGTCGATGCGTTTTTAGGGATGTGCATTAGGTATTTATGTCTCCAAGATTAGATTGTGAATGCCTAAAGTTTTGTGAACGCTTCCCTGTCAGTGTTGTTGCTTCATGGATCTTCCCATAGGGTGAGACCATGCAAGGTGAGAAGAGGAGGAGGCTAGACACAGCTGGAAAATCTGTGATCTTTATTCATATTATTATCTAAGTTATAATTACGGTGGTTTACCAGGAATAATCCAGTCCTGAGATTGTTGTATTAAATCATAGTCCATCATAATTGGTGACCTGAAGTGTCCCCATTCCCTTGGATTCAGTTGTGGTTTTTAGATTTCTTTGATGTAATTATATGTAGGAGAATTGGAAAGGTGAAATGTTAGTGTGAGAATAAAGGTTTGAAGCTAAGGGTTAACAGAAAACCCAACCGTCTTGGCATGTCTTAACTGCTTGTCCAAGCAGAAATAAATTGCTTTAAAAAACTCAGGCACTGGGAGGTTGAAACTGCAGTGCATACTTGTACATTCCTGAAAGGATCAGTGAAGATAGCAAACTTTCAAAATGCCTCTCCTTTTGATTTCAAAGAAAATATAAACCCCTACATGTTACTGACTGATGTAAGGACATACTAGTTTATTTTGTTTGCTGCCATGAGGCCTCTGACCTGTGTGTATCAGCTTGACTGTATTCAGAAGTTGTTCACAGGTATTATTTTGGACAATATCAGTGTTTTTGTTTAAATTGATCAAGGAGGTCTTTGTTTGTTAATTTTCCCAAGGATATTTTTCCCATTGATTTTTAGAGAGAGTGAAAGGGTGGGGAGAGAGAGACATTAATGTGAGAGAGACACATCGATTGGTTGTCTCTCGAATGCACCCCAACTGGGGCCAGGGATCGAGCCTATAACCCATGTACCTGCCCTTGACCAAGAATTGAACCCACGACCCTTCCGTGCGGGACTGATGCTCTAACCACTGGGAACACCAGCCAGGGTGATCAAGGAGGTCTTGATTTTAAAACAATGCCAAGAATGGTGTGTAGGGTTTATTTTGTTTTTTAAATGGTTTGTAGTTGTCAGTTGACTTGAGGATGCTCAGCTATGAATTTTGCATTATGGGAAAAAAGTTTTGCTCCTTTTATCTTACCTTTAATTTAATAGATACTTCACTTTAGAGTGTGTTCCATTTTATAAAGTCTACAGTTCATGAGTTGTTAGGTACAGAGCATGAAATACAGTACCTGGTTGTTTTTTTTAAGGTATCTGATTATTTGGTAGTTTAAAAGATAGATTGAAAAATGAATATACACACATGGTAGGAGAGTGCAAATTGTATAGATGTAAAATAAAAAGTGTTCCCCATCTCTCCTTCCCAACCTCCAGAGGTAACTACTGTTGACAGTTGATTTCTGGTTCTTCTGGAGATTGCCTTTATTATTTTAAAGGTTATAGTTCTGTTTTGTGATTTATCAACTTTAGATAGTATCTTTTGATACTCTGAAAGATGAGAAATTGGATGATACTACCTTTTGCTTTTTCTCCTCTTGGCGCCTCTCAATTTTTAATGTTAGTCTATTGCTTTTAGTTTTCTGATTTACCTTTATGACTTAAAATATATAAATTCTTGACTTATTAAATATGGATAGTTTTCAATTATTCCAACTATGGGAGATGAAGAAACTGGTGCTTCTTTGTTCCCATTTTTATTAGTTTGACAAATGTGCATAGGCCTAATTAGTAAATTAAAATCATTGTAAGCCTCTCCTTTGGAAAGAAATCAAAGTATGCTATACTTTAGGAATGTATTATCATATTTTCTTGGCTCATTACCCTTTTAATGCTTGGCTAAAATTTCTCCAAGACATTCAAGCTAACATTTTCTTTGTTTTATTTTATACCTATGAATTTTTGCTAAGGAATGGATCTCTTGCCCTTTAGTGCTTTTAATTTAATGAAAGCTTTCTAATAGTGCCTTCATTTCAAGCCTCATTTAAAGACAACATCAGCACTCTAAATTGTACCAATTTCTGCCAACTGAAATTAGATCTGTTAAGATTATATGTTTTTAACAATAGTCTAAATGGATGGTTATGATATTACAGTCACCTGCACATTACTGCAGATGAAACTAAAATGAGTCACCAATGAGGATAGTTAATAAACAGGTTGGCTAACTAGAACACCTACCTGATTTTAAAATAAAAATCCTTCTTGTCAAGAAATGTAAGGACAATCTGCATTGGAAAAAAAGTATTTTTGTTTCAGATTTTCTGAATAGCTATTATCCAGGAGCTTTCCCCTTATTTCCTTCTAATAATATTTCTATCCAGTAAATGTTGAATCTTGGAACAGCAGCATTTTGTAGTGATTCAATGGCCCTCTCCTTTCAAAGGTGTGTATAGTGTTATCATTCTGTTAAATTTATTTTTAGTACAAATGTGATGTCTCCTAGCTATCACAGACATTTAATTAGATTTTTTTTCTAGTTTTTTAAGCACTGAGACTCTGATTTTATTGGAGCCCAGCTAAGAGTGCCTGTCTCACAGCCTGAACCCCTCTTTCCTTGCCACGGTAGCTTGTCAGTGTGTGGCCTTAGTTCCGAGGAAGAGAAACAGGTTTTGTTGGTTAGTGATAGATTGCCATTGGATGTGATTATCCTTATATGAAATTACTTGTTACTATGGGATCAAATTTACTCATTTCTTTACATTATAAGTGTTTAGGAAATTTTGCAAAAAGCTTATAAAAAGTGCTTTTTAAACACTGCTGTTGAGCAGTTGCAGCAATCCAGAGGATTCTTTGTGTGCACATCTACAGATAAAAAGATTGTTAGCTCCTTGCATATTTGGAATGTATAGCTGGTTCAGTGAAGAAATCGGCAGGATTTTTTTTTTTTTTTACTGTTAACAAGTCTTGACAAGACTTGTTTTTTAAAGTATTGCAACATAATTTTAGTGATATACTTTAGTAATGGTTCTAAGGAACTAAAAATAGTGTATGGAGTTGAGAATTGGGGGAATGTTAGTTATTGGTCCTACAGCTTTGGCATGGCACCTAGAGCAATTGAGCCACAGTTTTACTGGGGAGAGAGAATGGGCATGGTGGCCTGGTGCCAAAAACCCAAACCAAAACAACCCTCTCAGAAATTTGGATTAGATGATATGGAGATAAGTTGCTTGTTAGCAGTGAGGACTAAGCTGAAGAGTTGAGGGAGAGGCTGGTGAGCCCAGGACCGACCATGTGCAAGATCTAATGGAGCAGAGGAGAAGAAACAGTTCTCTGCAGAAAATTCTCCCTGCGGGGCCGATGTGGTTCAGTAGTTGACCGTTCACCCATGAACAAGGTCATGGTTCGATTCCCAGTCAGGGCACATGCCCGGGTTTCAGGCTAAATCACTAGTAGGAGTGTGCAGGAGGCAGCTGATCGAAGTTTCTTCTCATCATTGATGTTTCTATCTCTCTCTCCCAAACCTCTTTTTAAGGCAACTTGAATGTTGTTTTTTTAATGATTGAAATGGGCCTTGTTAAAACATGAATTTTAAAAATTGAACACCTACTATAAGCCAGGCGTGTGGTGCTAGGGTGGACACAGAGGATAATTACAAGGCTCTGCCCTTGAGGAACTAAGAAACTTATATGAGGAAAGACAGAAGAGTTAATAAATGTGTGTGTAAGGTATTTGCAGGGATGGATGTTGGAGAGGAGCTTGGGGTGAGGGAAGCCTGTCTAGAGGATGAAATGTTTGAGGCTTTTATTTTTTAATATATATATATATATATTTATTGATTTCAGAGAGGAAGGGAGAGGGAGAGAGGGATAGAAACATCAATGATGAGAGAGAATTATTGATTGGCTTCCTCCTGCACGCCCCCTACTGGGAATCGAGCCCGAAACCTAGGCAAGTGCCCTGACTATGAATTGAATTCAGGACCTCCTGGTCCATGGGATGACGCTCACTCCACCGAGCCACACCAGCGACTATAGTTAATTTTAATGTATGTTGTGGAAAGACCCATTTCATTAATTTTCTGTTTCCAGATTTTCTTGGCTATTCTTGTATATTTTCTCTTCCAGATGAATTTTTGAAGATTTTTTAGGCTGGCCCCCCAAAAAAATAAATAAATCTTACTGGCATTTTGATTTGGAATTGCATTGAATTTATAGACTAATTTGAGAACTGCTAGTTTTATAATATTCAGCTGTCTTACAACTACTAGTATCTGGTATTTAATATCTATTTATTAATTTCTTTCATGTTTTTCAATAAGGTTCCCATCCCATAGGTCTTGCACATTTCCTGTTAAGTTTATTCTTAGGTAGTTTATCATTCTTTTATAAATTGCTTTTATAAATTTCTGTTGCTTTTATTCCATTTCATTATATACCATCAAATTTTGTGTGCTTAAGTCAAACTGGCCAC